TGCACTCACTGCATTGCCCCTGACAGATTGTTGGATGGGAAATGAGATGAGTGATGGAATTGGGTGAATAATTCTTAGAAAATGAAGACCTGTTTCTTGCCTGGGAAGCGAGTGAAGCAAGTGAAACTCCTAAATCTCCCCAAGAAATTATTCTTCTCCTGCTGTCTAATTGGAGTGTGGAGGCTTTGGGGTTAAGTACCTTGCATGTGTGTGTATCGCGGCTTTTTGGCACAAATCCCCAACATTTTAATTGGATTACTTTCCTTATCTTGCCGCCTTCTCTCGCATTCTCCCAGCTCGCCTACAGCTCTATCCATTAGCGCACCGACTCCGACTCCGACTCCAACTCCGACTCCGATCCATTCCCGGCCATTTCAAATGGAATCCATGGCACGCTGCGCTGAGCACTGGCAGTGCCACTGGATGGATCTCCCACTCGAAGATGGATATGCAGAGGAGCGTATCATAACCGGATCGCTGATCGGAGCGGAGCGTGAACCCCAAAATGCAATGTGCAACAGCAGTGTCCAAGTTTACTGGAGCGTTCCACCAGGGGAGGGACAGCGGAAGGGCCAGGGCCGAGGGCAGGCCCTGGGATCAGCAGGCCAAGCCAGGCCAGACCAAGTAGTATTATTAATGGACGAGTCCACGCTTAGAGCCAAAGTGTGCAGCGGAGAGGGACAGACAGACAGAGAAGAGATCTCTTAACGCTGATAGCCACGGTCAAGTTCACCGCAGCGGCAGGGGCAGCGACGTTTCATTAGCGTGTAACGTTGTCGGTGGAATTGAAAATGTAACGGATCCCCTCCTGCCTGCGTAGGACAGCGGCGATAAGGATCTCCCTGCTCTTTCTCTCTTACTCACTAAGTAGTTTATTGATATGCCACTGGCAAAAGGACACGGCCGCAGAAGTGTGCACCTGCCAGGGGTGGGGAGCGCCTTTAGCGCTCTCCTTTGAGCTCTTTGTGCTGCTCCTGTGTCCCTGCTCTTTGTGGCTCTTGTGTGTGTTTCGCTCCTGTTTCTGTTCATAATTAAAAAGAACATTCATTGCCCCCCCCCCCCCCCCCCCCCGGCTGGCCATGACGCAGCGGATTGTACTGTGCCACAGACACAAGATCACCTTGAAAGTAAAAGTTGCTCAATGCATTTTTATGTTAATTGGTCTGCATTTCTGACTCTCTTACACTCTTTCTTCCTGTGTGTACACGGCGCGCAAAAATGTATTAAATTAAAACAAACAAATAATGAATAATAAGCAGTGCGCCAGGCCAGCGCCAGAGAGTGAAATAATTTGCATAAGACGTTGAACAAAACCAAAGCAAGAGAGAGGGAGCAGAGAGTACGATCAACAGCAGCGAGAGAGTGAGAAGAGAGCAGCTGAAAACAGCTGTTCGGGCTGGTAAGATCTTGTGGATCGGGGGCTTTGCTTAGATAATTTTTCAATGGCAAGTAAGGTGGCCATTAAGCCAGACACATGCTAATTAGATAAAGAATGCGTGGCTTAAGATTAACCCAATTTGGGCTTAAAAAGCAGTGAAAAATGCAACAATTGAAAGAAGAATGGTAGAAGAAATATTATGTCTTTGCCTTACAGAACCTTTTCCCTATTTAAACTAATTTTAACAACATATTTTAACCATTTTTCATTAAAACTTACTTTTTACCACAAGCACTCCTTTCAAATATTTCGGTTTTTGGCGCTTATTTCAAATGGAAAACCCCAACACAACACAACAGCAAACACGCAAAAAGCTTTAAGAATGTTGAAAATTCAAACGCGAGAGAGAGAGAGAGAGAGAGCGCTGGAGAGAGCGAGCGAGCTGCTCTGCGAATCTTCCAGTCACTGGAAACATTCGCTCACGCTATGGCCGTCTCTTTCGTGCACTTGTCCGTCCTGTGGGCGTTGCCGGTCGCTGAGCGCCGCCGCATGCCTCGACTCTCAGAGAGTGGGCGTTGCCAGTGGAGAGCGCAGACGCGCTGAGCAGGTGACTGGAAGGAAAGAGCTGGCGCTATGCCAGTGGCACAAGCGAGAGTGGGATGACAACAAACAAAATGGCTGCTATCATTAGCCGACGTCCGTTAGATGGCGCCAGTTGGCCGGTTGCCGTTGCCGGCTTTTGTCGCGGTCGGTCGCTCGCGCTCGCGCTCGCTCTCTCTCCGCTCCGGCATATACTCCTCTGGCATTCGTGTACCGTAAACTGTTTGGCGCGCTTCCTAAGCGATTTGGGTTAGCAGTGTCGGAAGCTCCGCAGGACGACGCTTTTCCCGCTGTCGGACTCCGGAGCTCAGTACCTCCGAAATAATACCGCTGCCGCTCCCGCTCCCGCTCCCGCTCCCGCTGCCGCTTCGGCCTTGTAGGCGCATTTCCGTTTGGTAATTTTTCACTCTCGAGAGGCACCAGCACAACAATAACAATGGCAACAAAAGCAACAACTAAACGGAACGTTGGGCCGCCTTGACGATTTTCACGCTGACTGCGTTCCTTTTTGACCAATAAGTGCATTTATTTGGCCCCTGGCTCTCGACGTTCTGTTGCTTTGGTCTAGTTCTTCTTCTGCTTGGGGTTTGTGCTCAATAATTTTAACATTGTTGCCCGTAATGAAAGCTTTGCTCTTCATTTAAGGCTCGGAGGAAAAAAAAGAAGCGGGAACAGGCGGCGGCTCTGCTCTCCTCTTGGTCCTCGTCCTGATTCTGTTCTGTGTCCTGCAATTGCTTATTGCATTTCTGACTCTAGGTGGTAAGGTCCCTTTTTGTTCGCTGTCGGAGCTGGACTGTAAGACAGGCTCTTCTTGCTGGCTCGGATGATGGGGGGTGGTGGCACTGGGTGCTTGGGCCACGGACGCAGCAGTTTGCGTAATAAAATTTGCATAATTTAAATGTGTGTGCGTGTGGGTGTCTGTCTCTTGGCTGTCTGTGCAAGTCTCGCATATCCTTTGCGGGCATCCTCCTTACGCATTGTCTACTGCTTTGTTGCACACACAAACAAAGAGACACAAACACACACACTGGGAAACAAATGAGTATTTTCGGTGAAGTGCAGCAGCAGTAAAGCTCCAAGCACCAACCAACCCCCCCACAAGCAGGAAGCGGATGCTTTAAGGCGCCTTCGCCTTTAACCCTTGTGGGGCTCAATTGGTTAAATTAGCTTATTTCGGGGATTTCTTTTTGTGCAAAGAATATGGAATTTACAGCTTTAAGGCAAGGAATTCTTGTTGCTGCTTTTCAGGGGAAACTCTTACTTTTTTTTGGCATTTTTGCAGTGTACACAAATCAACATTCGTTTACTCGGGTTAAAGTGGGGTCTTCATTAACCTTAGAAGCAGAGTTTTGTTTTACTTTGTGTAAAACCAACCAACTATTTGCGTGTTTACGATAGAAACCAGAGCAGGGGAGGGGGAGGGGAGAAGGGTTAACCTAAAGCCGCCTAGCAGCGGGGGGAGTTGAATGTCAAACAATAAATAATAAAAATGTACAACTTGAGTTGGCCAACACGCACTGCCTACACAAACACACACACAACACAGACTCGCATACAATTCAAAAAGAAAGAGTAAATGTCAATGGGAATGTGTTCTATGGTCGTGCGGTTCTTGCGCTCCCTAATCCTAGCCCAGCCACTTGTTATGCTCATTAAGCTTCGGTTATTAGGGCCATCAAAATGAATCAGGACACAACAACTATAAAAGTCAACCCTTTCCCGCGCACTCCGTCAATGAGCTGGAAAGAAAGTTTGCCTGCTTTCTTTTCCGGCTTGCCCCCCTTTGACTCTTTTTCTTTTGCTTCTTTTTTGCTGAGGTTCTGGTTAAAGTTTTGGGTTATTTATACATATATTTGTGTTTGTTGTTGCTGTTATTGTTATCAACATTAAATCAAATCACAAAGACAACAACAATTACAGCAACAACGACGAAAAAAAGGCTCTACCTCAGACGCAGGCAGGAAAAAAAACACCGAAAAAGCGAATAGGAATAACAGAATTTCTATAATGGCCATGGGACACCAAAAGCAACAATAACAATAAGAAGAGGTAGCAGGAAAAAAAAAAATATATATATATAAATTTGCGCGTCGCAGCCGCAGATACACTTTTAGTTCGAAATTTGTTATGGTTGCTGCCAATATACTGCTAAAAGAAAACAAATTTTAATATAAATGTTTGTAATTATATTTCAGAAATAAAAAGAGTTTAATGAAACGACTCTTAGATATGAATTTTTATCTGAAACAGATAAAGTTTGTTTTAAAGCAAAATAGCCCCTTCTGGTGCTAGTTTTTCCATGGATTTTATACATGACATGGTTCTGTCGTGTTCCAAAAAATGTTACATGGAAAAAACTTAATTCTTTCTGCATTCAAAAATATCCAAAAACCACATAGTACGAGTAGACTCTTCAAGAGTATAGAAAAAAAGAGTATGGTCACGAAAAAAAGAGGAGAAAAGGCAACAGAAAATTTACAATGTCGCCGGTTTCCGTTGCTTTTCCCATGGCTTGAAGGGGCGTACGGCGGTTCTCGCACTGAGTGGGGGGGGGGGGGGCAATAAAATACATCATAACGGTATCATAAGCGAAGCGAACAAAGCGATACACACACACACACACACACAAACATTCACACAGATAAGGAACTCGGCGAGAAAGAGGCACAGAGAGGAAGAGCAAAAAAAGGCATCGAAAATCTGTGGAAAAAAATCCATTTGCAGGGAACAAAACAGAACCAAAAAAAAAACGTAGGAAACCAAAAAAAAATATATATTCAAATTTCGTTACGATGCGCAAAAACAACACAAAAAACTTGGGCAAAAACAAAAGGCAAAAAAAAAGAGAAGCGAAACGAGAGAGAGAGAGAGCGAAACACCGAAACGGAGAGGCCCGCTATTATGACAGCAACAACAGCAACAACAGCAACAGAAACGACAATGGCGTCCACCGGAAATAGTCACACACACACAAACTATTCCGCACTCAAGTATAAATGAACATACGCATGCAAATGCTTACACAGAGCAGAACACACAAGCCACACACATGTGTGGAAAGGGTTGCACATGCCGTTAGTTGGGTGTCCTTCCACTTTCCACCTTCCGCATTCCATGTCATGTCCTGCGTCCTGCGTCCTGTGTGCGTGCTGCAACAAATAAAATATTAAAATTGGTTCAATGAATTTCAATAACAACAACAAACACGACACGAAATCAAAACTAAATTTCGCTTTATTGATAACGAAATACAAGGTAGAGCGTAAGCGGGGGCAGCTTTATGGATTGCGTGCGTGTGTTTGTGTGTTTGAGTGTGGTTATGTATGCCCGGCACTTGAAATATGCGTTTGGAGTGGCAGACATGGACGTGGTAGCCTCTAACTAATTGGCAGGGGGATGAAACAAATATTAGAACAAATGGAAATAGGAAGATAATTCCTGAAGGTTAGTGTTAAAATGTAGGTGGATATTTAGGGAGCGATTAAATTTGCCTTCCTGCCTCCCAATCCTATCTAATCCTTCCATCATTATCTATTTGAATGAATCTAAAATATCACTGAATTATCATTTCCTCAATTTATACTCCCCAAAGAGCATGCACTTAAAATTGTAAACCCAATAAAACCAAAATATTTTTACACTACATTCAAGGTGTGCTGCCCTTCTATCATTGCCCGATTTGAGTTACTTTAAGAGCTGCCTGCCAGCCACTCATATTTCATTCGCCTATCGCCAAACACTTGTGCTAACGACTCCCCCGTTGGTTGGCTGCCACTGTGCTGGCTCTCTCTGTCTCTCTCTCTCTCTCTCTGCCTGCCTCGTGTGGCATATGAATATACATATGCAGATAGAAATCTGCACACATTTCAGCCTATCTGTCTGTCTGTCCGTTCGCCCTGTGTTTGCATGTGTCTATCTGTCCGTCTGTCCGTCTGCCTGTCTGCCTGTCTGCTGCTGCTGTCTGAAAATGCCGTCAATCCTAACCCTTTTGCCATGTCGTGTGGTCGTGCTCTGCCCATACTCATCTCCCTGGTGGCCTATCTATCGACTGATTTGCATGTTTTGCGATTCATTTTTTTGTTGTTTAGCTCCACAAAATCAATAAAAATGCGTTTCCAAATGCGAAAAAAGTAAAAATAAAATGTGATTTACCATTGCCGGATAGATGGGAGTCGCAGAACCGGAACATCGGAATGGAAATAAAAATACTCTAATCAATGCACAGACTATTAATAGAAATTGCATATGGAAAATGGCCAAATGGATGGAAATAAAGATGTCTATGCTGCAAAAATACACATCTATGCACACGGCGATTGTATTTGTATATCCTTCACACGCATAGGCTTTTTCTATTTGGCGACAATGTCCAAAAAGGAGCCCAAAACACCCACACACACACACACACACACACACACACACACACACACACACAAAATGGCAACATCCACAAAGCCCAACCATCAAACAAGCAGACTCTGAAGGTAACTCGCTGCTCTGTGGGGGGGTCCCAGACGTACGTGCGTTGCCTCCTTGGGGGTTGAAAGGACATCCACATACACACATTAATATGTATGTGTATTTACACGCACACTGTGGCAGCGACAAATAACAAACAAATACACTGAAGTTCGGGCGCAAAAAGGGAGCTCGCTCCCTGGCGCGTATTTGCATGGTGACTTGGCCCCCATGCCCCCCACCAGCCCCAGTCCACTTTCTATTTAGTTTATTGTATGCGTGAATATTCAAATATTGCGTTGGAGTATCTCTATGTGTGTGTGTGTGTGTGTGTGTGTGTCCATGTGGGGGTTGCCACAGCAACAGGAAATCGGACGCATGCGTATTGCTCTTCCTCCTGGCCGCAGTTTTTCCTTTCACCCACCAACGCTACGTTGGGGCACGTTCTACGTGTACGTTCTATGTTGGAAACAAAAGCAACGCCAAAATAATAAATAATTGCTAGTTGGCATTGAGGTGCACAGAGTGAGAGTCAGAGGGAGAGGGAGAGAGAGAGAGGGCTTTACATATAGCTCTCTCTCTCTCCGCCTGCTGCTTCCTCCTGCCAATTTACTTTCCTTTTGATAATTTGCCTCTTCTTCTATTAGTTAATTAAAGCTTGTGGGTGACTGCCGAGACAACGAGTCGTATGCTTGATGGCTGGCTGGCTGGCTAAATTTAAATTTGAAACTCTTTATCGATTTATGGGCTGCTTTAAGGCCATCGAACGACTGTCGTCACACACAGCTCCACTCGTGTGTGGTTTGTCATTTCGGGTGAATGGTGAATGGTGAATGGCGTGCCTGTCTGTCAGGCTGTCTCCCTGAGAGCGGGGGCGGGGACCCATAGCTATGTGAGGGGCGTTGCAACGTGTCTACATAAATACTGTCTGCGATAAGGCCTTTGTTTTTGTCATAAATCTCATTTTATGATGAATTGATATGGCGTAGAGAGACAGCGAGAAATGCAGTGCGGATAATAGGAGTAAAAGGACATTCTGTTGACTTGTGGGCAACTCAGATTGAAAAAGCTGCAAATAATAGGAGTGAGGCAATAGATGGTTCTTGATACACATTAATAATATGGTGGGAGAATTAATTTATAGATAATTTATGGGAAATCGAGGAGCCTTTGGTTTACTCTTTTTACATTAATTAGTTCGCGGAGAAAAGAGAATTGTGCCTTGGTTTCTATCAATGAGGAATGAGCACATTATATCCACAATAAATTCCATATTAATAGGCAACTCTTACCCCTATGCTTACCCCTTAACCTATCTTTAGCTCATATTTTCTTTACTGCAAATCATTAGACCTTCCCATCTATAAGAAATCTTTGCTCTACCATCCAAACCCGATCTATCCACTCTAAATGGTACAAATCACATGGCATGAGAGTTTTTCTGCGAGTAGACCTTGTCTGCAGTGAAAGTAAGACCCAGGATAATGTTTGCCTGTTTATCTATCTGTCTATGACTGCCCACAGGCGTCTCGCGCTCTCTCTCTCTCTCTCTCTCTCTCTCTTTCTGCTGCCTCTCTTTCAGTCTCGTTCTATCTCTGGTTGTGTGCATGCGTTTGCACCTAATTTGCATAAACGCTCTGGCAGCGGGCAAACTTTTGCCCACATTGCACAAAAAGAAGGCGAGCCAAGGAAATACTGCCAGTCGTCCTGCCTCCTCCTGTTTTGCTCGCTCACTTTTTCTCTGTCTGTGAGATGCGAGTCGAATCGCTGGAAGCTGTAGCTGAAGCGCGGCATCGAGGGCAAGGGTAGTGTGGGGGGAGGCATCGTTGGTACTGAAGCGAGTGAAAAATGCGCAAACTTGGTAACCAAGTTAGCGCGTTATTTTAACATTTTCCGCTTTGCTGCTGCTGCTGCTGCTGCTGCCAAGGCGGCTGTCGCCTTTTTCACGCTTTCTTTTCTCTCACTCTATCTTGCTGCTCTCAAGGACTCGTGGTACAAATCACAGTCACTGCAAAATTATGATCGATGAGGTTCTTGTGTGCAGCCTCGTACTGTCGGCAGTAGTTCTGCCAAAGTTATGCGCCGGTTTGTCAGAAAATTTGTTAAGTTTCGCTGATTGCATGTGAGGCAAGAGGGTGTAGCTAAAGGAGAGTATTTTGCCTATCCATGAACACTCTTCATGGATTTCCCGCATGGGTAACCGCTTCTTATGGGTAACAAAACCCTAAGCATCTTGTTACCGCAAACCCACACAAAATCCTTCTACAGCCAAATGAGCTTCTCATAAAATCCAGCTCCTTGGTAACCCCTTACTCAACCATCAATTGCTTGACGAGCCTCTTTCTACTCTATCCGCTTTTCATGCAAAATGTCTAAGGTCAAGAGCAAGGCTGCACATCCTCTCATCTCATCTCATCTCTCCGCTCCGCTCAGCTCAGCTACAGTTCGAGCACCTCCTGCCAACCCATCGTCTCCATGCTCATTCAGTAAAATGCATAAAAACTTTCAGTATCACTGGGTCACATGCTCGTCTGCATCACTGATGAGCCACAGCCCGAGCCACAGTCACACTCACAGTCCTCGCCTCAGCCCGAGTGGGAGACGAGCCTCCTACGTTCTCCGTCAATGTTCCGATACTCCCCACTCTACGTCTCGCCGTATTAACAACAAATTATGGCATTCCGCTCATAAAATTGCACAATAAAGAAAGCCCCAAAAAGAAATCTGCGAGCGGAACGTCTGTCTGTCTGTCTGTCTGTAACAAATGAGTTGAGAAAAAAAGGAAGAAAGAAAATGTTTAAGCAGCAGACACAAAATTTGCTGTAATAAAAACTTTTGCCGTGATCTACCTCAAGGATGAAGGTTCTGCCAACACACCAAAAGATGTTGTGAAATGGAAAGTGCTGGCAACTCTTCTTCGCTTTTCCTCTTACCCTTCGCTGGGTGTGTGTGAGGGGCATAAAAAATCAGCTCTTGTGTAATAATCATAAATTAGTTTATGAGTCCCGCCGCTGCTGCTGCTGCTGCTGCTGCCGCTGCTACTGTTGGAGCATCGTCATCATCGTCGTCGCGTGTCGCGTAACCTTGCCCTTCCTCACACACACACAACAGAGGTTGTTGCAACACACACACACACATGTACACTGTGGCAAAATATTCCCATTCATATGTGCTGGCAGGAGATTGTCTCAGTGGAATGTTTCTTTTTGTTTACTGGTTGAACTTTTTACGGCTGCTGCTGCTGCATAAAAATGGAAATCGAAACCCGCAAGAGATAAACATATCCAGAAAGCGAGAGGGAGATGGCGAAATAAACAAATTTGAAATTCTGACAGCGCTGCACACCCCACCCGCCAACACCCACACACACTCCGCTCTCTCTCTCTGCTGTGCTCTCTGCGTATGTCGAAGTGGAAAATCTATTCGAAAACAAATTTTGAATTACAAATCGACGCCGGTCATGTGACGTCATGTGCCCCGCAAGGATGTGCAGCCAAGGACAGTGCCCCCGTCGTCGCAGCAGCAACGAGGCGAGAGTTTCGCACGAGTTTTGCATTTGAATGTGAGTTACGACCTCTTCTGCCTGTGTGTGTGTGTGTGTGTGTGTGTGCTCTGTCTGTGTCTGTGTCTGTGTGTAAGAATCAGCTGATTTTTGTTTTGGTCGGGGGTTTCTTCGGGAGATCTATTCGCC